GTCGGAAGAGGTCGATTTGTCGTGACAAGAGCTTCGCCGAGTTTTGCTTCCTGTGTTTCACATGGTACGACGATGCGGTGACATGGCAAGCTCATGGCCAGGAGCATATGCAGGACTTGCCGCTGAAGTGCAACATGGCCATCTTTCGCTGCAACGTGGTGCGGCCCGCCTTGTGTCCAGCATGTCTGCGCGACAAGAAGTTCCACCAGTTCGTCAATCTGACCAGCTGGAAGAGTCACTTACACGATCACGTTCTGGGTAGCAAGCTTCAGCGTTGCCCTCATCCTCGCTGTGTCGACACACATTTATCTAGTAAGAGGGAGGACATACTCGACCACTTGGCGGATGTGCACGAGATTCGCTTCGAGAGCAAGAAGCGAAAAAGATGCCTTCATCGTGACTCTGAAGAACATGGCCGGCAGAAGCTCTCGTTTCTGTATATCAATCCGGCCGTGTTCTCATCGCCACCGAAAGTGGTTCAGGCAGGCGACAATCTTGGTGGTGTGGAGGTCGAGGACATGGGAAAGCTGGAGAAAAGAAAAGTCCCTGACGCTCGCTTAGGTCAGACCAAGTCCAGTACGCCTGCGACAGTCTCGAGTCCAATCATAGCACAAGAGGAAGGCGACTATCATCTGGATAACAGCCAGCTTGTGACACTAGACGGTATAGGGGGTGACGAGTCACATTCGGCCTATGATGGCTTGTCTGGTGGTCACAAAGCGGCCGGCAATGTTTACGCAGGGAAATTAGTTCAACGAAAAACAGCACAGGAAGTCGTCTCCATCACGGTCGATGTGCCGCCAGTGCCTGACTGGTGGTACACTGATGGTATACCGTGTGTGGACGTGCTTTCGAGTGACGATGATCGAGCTACCATTCCGAAAGTCCCAGAAAGCCGAGTGGCACCGGAAAAGTCTAGACGAGGCAGACCTCGTGGATCTCGTAACCGCAAAACCCTGCTTAGAGAGCGACGTCGAAATCAGACGGGGAAAGCTCGATCCTCCACGTGAACAGAGACGATGTTCTTTACCTGCACCAGCTCGACGCAAATTCGTCAAGAGCTTACAATCAGCTTGCTCTCATATTCTTATAGAGTTTTGATTCCACCGTCACAAATAGCAATCTTGATGTCTGGGCAGTGCTTTGCGCCATAACGTCTCGCTCATGCTATCCCGCGTCTCTCGATTGTCTACTCTCTTCGTCTTTGAGGGCTGTGCTTCTAGTTCACTGAGATCTTGCCGGGCACTCTTCAACTTTTGCCTGCGACTTTGCGCTACTGACTGTTGTGATCTTTGTCACGGAAAGGATGGGAAGCCTATCATCATGCGCTGGAATAGTTACCTACTATTTGAATCGTTTTTAGGTTTCACAGATTGTACGCAGTCCTCATTGGGTAGTGCGCTATCATGTTGATGCATTCTTTGATGAGATCTGCCAACTCATGTGCCAAGTTCTCTTTCTGTTCGTGTTTCTCTCGTCCAGCCCTGTGTAATCTTTCGAACCTGCTCTTGTCCCAGACAAGATCGGTGTTCATGGCTCTCAGTCTGTCTTGGAGCTGTGAGAAGCTGGTCTTGTCTGCTTCGCTGCTCACCGCACTCGGACTGCTTTTGCGTTGTACAATTTCTTTGCATATGCTCTGCAACACCGAATTTCTGACTGTGAGCGTTGCTCGAAGGCTGTCGGCGTCACGTTGCAGATTTCTCGAATCTTCAGAAGGCTAAATCAACATCCGTTACTGATACAGTACAGGTGGATTTGTCGTAGAGGGTTCCAAACAGAATACGTGCTGTGTGGATAATATTGAGAATGTCAACCTGGTGCAATCGTAAGCTGTTAAGCCAGTGGACAAATATTTGTCAGCCTTATCAGCCTTCCTAAGCCGCTAAGCGCTTAATTTGGCAAGTCCGTACCATCGGAGTAGTCTCAGGGGACTTGAGCTGAATGTGCCACGCCAGATGACGTTTGCGCAGTTATGTTCTTTTCTTGTTCTGTACTTATAGTTTTTTCCATCGCGTAGACACTGCGCCTGTTATGTTTCTTCTGAAAGAGAGATCTAATCCGACTGTACCGCAAAGACTACAGTTGCACTCCAGTCTGCCTCTCGGCCGACATGTCGTCAAATTATACCGATACAGCTAAGCTCATCGCGCAGAATCAATGAGCTGCGACGACTCGATAGTGATAAGTATGATGCAGGTCAAGGCTTTTATTCCTCAGCGCCTCATTTGACGTCCTGTCCATGGCGCTTGCCAGCTCAGCGTCAATCACCAGCAAGGCATTACTCTGACACATTCTTCGATTTGCGAGCTAGCCAACAAGCTCCAAAGACAACCGCTCCTCCTGAAACTCTGCTTGATCTTATCAAAAGGTAGCATTTACCTGCGTGAGGATGTCGCCTGCACCTTGCACTTCCACAAGGAGCCCCTTGAGTGGAGAACCGTGTGAATGTTGCTTCCGAGCATTCCTGTCAACTTCTTAAACTGCGCTGGCCTCCACTATGAGCTGGTCAGTTCAAGTGGGCTCTCCGAAGACTCGGCTAACTTACAGGACGGTTGTACTCTGTTGGAATTCTGGCAGATAACAATGAGGCCAAGAACAGTCATAACGACACCGAAGACGATGTTGCTGATGAGTTCTGCAGACATTTGGTAACAAGTAGCGTTTAGCTTGTTGATACTTTTTGAACGACCGCAGTGCTTGGTTGTTTCGTGTTTCAGACTCTCGTTGCTTGACGATAGAGATTAGGCTGTAACTGGGAAACTGTTATTCGGCTCTGGTACCACAGGCATTTATCTCAGGCTTAAGGGTACTTATATGAATTATGGGTCGGTTAAGACATCCTGCCAGCCAGTCATCACATGTACGATTCTGACACAACAGTCTATTGCATCACACAGCATCACACAGCATCACACAGCATCACACAGCATCACACAGCATCACACAGCATCACACAGCATCAC